AAAAAGGGCTGCCAAGATGATACTCGATTTAGAGCCGCATAACGCGGTTAATTATGTGCTTGTAGCTAATATGTACGCTTCAGGGGCAAAATGGGAATATGTGGCCGAGGCTAGACGTGCGATGAAAACGGCGAAAGTTCGAAAAGAAGCCGGGTGTAGTTGGGTTTCGATGAGAGATGGGATTCATGTTTTCGTGTCGGGAGATAAATCGCACGTTAATGTGGGTAAAATATACGAGAAGCTCGGTGAATTGTACGGTAAAATGAAGGCTATGGGGTATATGCCTCAGGTGAAATATGCTCTGTATGATGTTGAGATGGAGAATAAGGAAGAAGTTCTGAGTTACCACAGTGAAAAACTTGCGGTTGCATTTGTGCTCACGCGCGAATGCGAATCGAAACTGCCGATTAGGATTATGAAAAACCTTCGGGTCTGTGGGGACTGTCACTTGGCGTTCAAGTATATATCGGAAATCGTCGGCAGGCGTATCGTGCTGCGTGACTCGAACAGGTTTCACCATTTCGACGGAGGTAAATGTTCTTGCAACGACTATTGGTAATTTTTTTGTGTTTTTATCTTTTTACCGATGGGTGTGTATTGGCCTAACGGTAAAAAAATAAAAATGAAAAAACTCATATTGTTACTGTCCATACGTACGGTAGAATCTTGTTTACCTACAAATGATAGATGGGTAAAAGAATAGAGTGAGTATAATACCCCTCAATTTATTGGTTGTTCTATGCATTTGAGTTCATTTTGTGCAAACCCATTTAAAACACAAACTTGTAAAAAGAATATCTATACCATAAAGAAACAAATACGATAGCTCAAATTTTCTACACTAAAAATTATCGAACTTCACCAAATCACACGATTTATCGAAATTTTTCCGATTTCGTCTCGATCACTTCAAACTTTCTACGATAAAATTACCGAACCATACCAAGTTACCAAATCACACGATTTATCTAAATTTTTCGACTCGATTACCTCAAACTTTCTACACTAAAATTACCGAATTTTACCAAATTACACAATTTATTTAAATTTTTTCGATTTCGACTCAATTTTACTAACCTTTCGCAGAAACATAAATATTTTTGAAAGAGAAATTGCATGACCCGTATATGTATCAAAATCGTATTGTATTTTGACTATTTGTATCCCAAACAAGAGGACATAATGTAATATGTAGACGTAGTACAACTTTTGTCCACCCAAAATCCATTTTCATTGCCCCCACAAAAACTATCTCAAACCTTATCACTAAAAAAATCTATAAAATTCAAAAAAATATATT